GAACATACTCCCCCCGGCCGCTGAACCCTGGTTCAGATTTGAAGGGAAGCGGAGCCAACTTCGTAATAGGTCGTAGGTAGACCCCGGTAGCAGCCCGAACTTGGGCAACTCGCACCTTCTGGTCTTGAAGAACGACAAATACTTCTCTGCAGTCTCGTGTTCTTTATCAGCTGGTCCCAATATGAACACCAGGTCCAAAGCTACAGCAGTGTATTGACTATCTCTGTATTTGACATAGGTTGGTAGTTCAGTCCATTGTTTAGACTTCAGGTTCAACTTCCATAAATATTTCGACTCCTTCCCGGCGTGAACAAATACAGCTCTTACCCAATCCTGCACAATAGTAAAGTGATTGATATTTTTTGGATAGCCCTCTTTCTCACCAAGAATCGGAATAATTGTATAACACCCCCAGGAATCTGTTTGAAGTCGGTAGTTATACAGATTACAGAAGTGTTGTTCCCACTGCATTCGAGGGAATAGTAAAAGTTTCTTGTTGGTATAGCAAATCTGAAGAGAGAGAAATTTCTCTTTCCAAAATATTTTGTCTGATCCAATCAGATGCCAATCTTTGTTTAGGAGATGATAGGAGAAAACCTTGTAAGTAGAGTGGTCGCGGGTCTCTGCAAGCATAAACAAGAACGCCGATGGTGCAAATGTCATTGCCAGGACCAAGAGGTCAGTTAGGGGCGACTTCCTGCTTTTCACTAGAACAGAAGCCCGACCCTCTTTAAGTTTCACTCGGACAATATTGTCGGTGCAAGTTACCTTATTCCCTCTAGAGTGTATTCTCCCTCCTACAAAGTACACCCTTTTATCGTGAGAGGCATAAACGATAGACTTGGAAATAACTATTGGAGCGAAACCATTCACTTTTCTCCAGATCCATTTTTTGTGAGGGATGTGGTATTGGTACAATACCGAGCGGACATTCGGGCCATCTAGAGATTCCACATCTTCTATGAGGAGGTAAAGATGAGTTCCGTCGCCGACAAAGACCTTCGGGTAGCTACATTGGATGGCTTTGGTAACTTCTGGCCACTCTCCATTTTCCTTCAATATGGCGCGGTGGTAGACTGGTAGCCCTTCTAAATCCTCGACTTCTTTGACCGCGGTCTGCCTCTGGAGATTCGCCATTGCCACTGTAGTAGGTGAGAGGAAACCAATTGGATCGAAAATCCTCGTAATATTGGAGAGAAGATCTCTTTTGGTAACAACTTCCTCAGGAAGAGTTATATTAACTCTAAACGTATCTTGTACATAATCCCATACAATTCCTAAAATCTTGGATATGGCTCCTTTCTCCAAGTTAATTTTCCTCTCTTCGTTTATTTCCTCGACATGAGACACTATCTCGTGGCAATTTGAATTCCACTTTCTTAAGTGAAACCCTCCCTTTTTCATTAAGTCTTTTAATTGGTCTATTAGTTCTTTGGTTTCAGCAATCGTTTGAGCTCCTGTTAGCAGATCATCGACATAGAAATCATTCAAGGTCACCCTAGAAGCTTCAGGATAATTTTGGCCTTCATCTTCTGCTAACTGTTGTAATGTTCTCATTGCCAAAAATGGAGCCGAAGTTGTACCATAGGTAACAGTCAGTAGTCGATAGTCCACCACAGGCTCTTCTGGCGATGGTCTCCACAATATCCTCTGATAGTCCGAATCTTCTGGATGATGAGGCATGTAATAGCATCTGCACAATTCTCGCTTCACTTCTGCAATTGGGACCCTTTCCATGTGGTTTAAGTGTTCATATTCCTTCATGAATCCCCGGTATTGGTCATATAATTTCACATTCTTACACAATTTTCTTTCCAACAAAAGGAACCTTCTTAACGCTTTTTCTCTTGATTCACCCAGAAGCGGTCGATGTTGTCTGAATGGCAATTTTACCCAATACCTTCCATGGCTATCTCTGCCATGGTTATTCGAAAATAACCTTTCACAATCTTCGTCCTGTGTACAAAGATCCGGTGACGGCACAGATTCAATTTCCCAGAATCTTTTCATTACGAATTCTAGTTCTGGTTCAGATTGTAAACTCAGGTTACAGACTTCTGTATTACTCTCTGATGTTCCCATGAGTTTTCCTAGAAGTACCCAACCTAGTCTTGTATTAATAGCCATTGGCAATCCTTCTCCGAGAGATATAGAGCCATTCAACATAAGTTCAGTGTATATATCTGCTCCCAATATCATATCTATTGGGGCTTGTATGTAGAACTCTGGGTCTGCCAATTTGAGGTTCTTCAAAGTTGGCCAATTAGGGTCTTTCAACCTGAAGTTCGGAATTTCTGAAGTGAGCACTCCCGTGACTACTGCCTCCACCGAGAATTCCTCAGAATTATTCAGTGGACAAAATGTCACACTTACTGTCGATGAAGAATGCTGCACTGGTGTGTTTCCAACCCCTATAATCATCCGATCTGATTTCCTTTGGACAAGTCCCAATCTTTCGCAGCATCCTTTTGTTATCATGGTGACTTGGGAACCGCTGTCCAGTAGGGCTCTGCAGGTGCATAACTTTCCGAGTCCATTTTTTATCTTGATTCTAGCCGTTGCGAGTAGTACGTGGCTATCATTGCAGTTTGCCTGTTGAGTATTCGTTAAATTGATAGCACTTTCATGTTCCTTCGGAGTTGTGTTCTCAACTTGGGCCGAAGCGCCTTCCGTGCTCGGTTTATCATAATGAATCATTGTGTGGTGCTTCCCCTTGCATACTTTGCATCGTTGGTTCAGCCTACAATTCCATGAGAAATGGCCTTTCCTCAAGCAATTGAAGCACAATTTATGACCTTTTACTACATTTAATTTTTCTTTTAAAGGCATTTTGCAAAATAAGTTGCACATGTATAGTGGATGATGCTTAGATTTGCATAATATGCAAGTGTCCGATTTCTCAATTAGCATCCCGTAGCTTTGGCATTTGGGAAATCTCGATCCGGTGGTTTCTTCCCTTTTTGAACATTCCCTGACAGCACAAGACATGCTTCTTGCATGTCTGGAAATGAACGCTATGAACTTGTCATAAGAAGGAAGAGTGTTGTCCACTGACAGTTCCCAATCCAACCTTAGATTTTCACTCAACTTCTGCTGGAGGAAGTGCACCAGGATCACATCCACTAATTGATTTCTCTTCAATTCCAGCGTTTCTAAGTTTCTTATGGCTTCATTACAAACATCCATGAATTCATGGAGACACTTAGCCGATGGATTCTTAATTGCCCGGAGAGAAAAGATTTTTGACACCTGGGCATAAGCTAGCTCTCTCGGGTTATCATATCTTGATAACAGTGTACTCCATGCTTGGCCATAATTTTCACTTAGTAAAGGGAAACCCCTTATTAATCTGGCCGCTTCGCCTTTTACTGCTGAATTCAAATATTGTAACTTCTGTATATTAGTTAACCCTGGATGTGCATCGATGGTGGTGAGGAATAGCTCTTTGAAGTTGATCCAATTGCCTATATCTCCATCATATATCGGTAAGTCAAATTGAGGCAATTTTATATTTGCCTGAGAGCCATTTGGCTTTATGTCCGCCAGTTTCTCTTTGAGTTTTCTCTCATTTTCTATTTTTACCCTCAAGCTTCCAATCTTGTTCATTGAACCATCATATGCCTCACTTTCTTTATCTATATCAACTTCATCCAAAGAAAACAGCTCGTCGTAGAGTTTCTCAATTTTCTCTTTGATCTCCTTTAATTCTTCACCCATTATTTCTAAGCGTATTGTTTCATCTGCCTCAATAATTGAATCCACACTTTCAATAAATCCATCAATTCTCCTTATCTGACAACTTAACTTTCTTTGGAGGATCCTTTCGTCTCGAGACATTTGCATTGTATTCTCGCTGAGTTTTTGCTAAATTTCTTCTGTTTCAAATCCTAATCAGGCTCTCGAGGGACCATGAATCGAACTGGCTTTGGCCTCCTGGCACTAAGGAGGAATCACCGCCAAGTTCTTATTTTAACGCTGGTTTTAATTATATGCTTCTTGACTCAGCGAGCTAACTATAACTCATTTAAACTTGAATAACTGCTTTTGTCTCGTCTCACTAACTCTCATGACTCAACCTCGTCTCACTAACTCTAATGACTCAACCTCGTCTCACCAACACTAATGACTCAACCACGTATACTTTAATAACTCAATAACTGTCTTTATTTTCTAAAATCAAGATTATATACATTTCTAAAATTTACATAATTTAACAATAATTAACAAAAGTAAATTCTAACAATTTGCATATTTAAGGCTGGAACACCAAGAAATGGGTATTTAAGGCCAAACTTGCGTAAATACGCTTAGCACATGGAAAAAAAAATGAAAGAAAAAAAAAAGAGATATATATATACAATAATTTTAGGCCGTGAATAGAATAGTAATATGATATATGTTAACAATGAGAAAGAGAAAAAAAAAACGAGAAAAAAGAACTGTATACAAAGGAAGAAGTGTCTGTCAATATGTACAATAAGGATAATAGAAATTATCAGTTTCCCAAAAGATATTTGTTGCTATATAATTTAAAATATATCTACAAAAGGTATTGAATTTAATATACATTTCTTTACTGAAAATAAAAATACTTGGATCTGTTACTATTATTATTTTTTTAATTCTGAAGTCTTGAAACACAGGACATTCTAGTAAAAGATGCATTGAGGTTTTATTAAAAACTTTTAGTTGCTGTATAGCTTCAATTATTGTTTCTTATCCCCTTGTGTAAAGATTACACGAATCCCATGAGTTCATGCTCCTCGAACTGTTTTATAATAAGCAGCGGCCTCTCCCTGAGGTCCTGTTCAAAGGTCGAACTTGCCAGCCTCCCAGACTCAACCTCAGCATGGAAATTTCTGGTCAACTGGTTCAACTCAGCAATCAAAACATGACGCGAGTAAAAGCGCTTAATACTAGTCCATACTAGTGAGCTGGACTCCCCGGGTAGTTGGCGTTCTGAGCTCCAGGAACCTTGGTTATAAATATATATCTCTCTCTCCTGTTTAGTTCATCTAATACAGGGGTCGGTGGAATGATGGTTTAAACCGTTGGTTTTGGACCGCTACGACCCGGGTTCGATTCCCGCATTGGGCACTTTTTTTCTGATTAAAAAAATGCTCCAATGACCCCCGATTCTTGCAAAAGTCCAACCCTATCAGCGAGTACAAGTAACAAAACAGGGCTCTGGCACATTTGTAAGTGCAAAGTCGAACTGCTTTTCACATGTGGTGCACTTACAGTAAAAGCAGTCGCCTACTTCTACCCATCATGATTATCATGGCCTGTACCACGTGTACTTGTGATAGGAAAAAAAAAACATCTAATGCAAGCCAAAATGTGTTCTGAAGCTAAAGGTTCCAAGCTACATTTTGAGCAAGTGGGGTAGATTTTTGTATATCTTCTAAATATTATATGTAAAAATTGTGTTATATTTTGAAATATCCTTGCGAAGTCCTGATATTTCTTAATGGCCAAAAAGAGTGAAATAACTAGAAAAGTGAGAGATATTTTATATAATGAGCTCATAACTCTGAGAATAGCCAAAATTATACAAGTGTTACAGAACTTTCTCCTAAGAAAACCTGACGATTATCTAATCAATATTTTACATCATCCATGGTTTTTACGTCACAACCTTTTTTAGTATTAGAATAAACACAGTAATAAAAATGCAAACGGTATTACATAAGCATTTTTGCATAAATAACCCTGTTCAAAAACAATTTTACCCAAGGGAACCTGATGATGTTTCTAGTGTATCTTTTCATGCTGAACTCAAAATTCTAATCAGAAATTTTCCATCACCCATGTTTTTTTTTGCGCGATATTATTTTTTTAGTATTGGGATAAATACAGTAATAAATGCAAAAAATGTTACGTAAGCAATTTGTGCACAAACCATTTCTCATAACTAAGTCACGGCCTTAACATTCTTCAAAGAGTTCTTACAAACTTTTCTAAAATAATTCCATGCTGTTGCTCCAAATGCATTTAAATAATCCGGTGTGGATCTCATGGAATAAAGTCCGCCCTAGACTGACGAGGGCCATTAGCCCGAAACCATGGTCTCTAGGTGGACGATTTTCAGTTTGCCAAAGTTTGTGTTGTGGCTTTGTCACCGACCCGACCCGCTAGTTTGCGGCGACGGTCAATAGATGGCGTCTAGTTTTGACGTCCATTTTGACGGGAGAGGCGACCTTTGTCTCTTTAGTTCAAAATTCCCATCCTGCAGCAATTCTTGAATCTGAGGTACAACGAAAATTCCTTCCTTAGTTTTCGTATCACTTAGGGAATATTTGCTTCAAATAGGCAAATCCAGCAGCATTTGGATTTATTGCCTTTATATACAAAGTTATTCATTAATCAAAATTTGTCCATTAAGTAATGAGAAATATTTTCAAATGTCATGCAAACGACCAACTGCCATTTCTTATAAATTGGGATGAATTCTTTCTGGAAGGGCTTTCTCATGTTTAGCTAGAAACTATATGTATTGTGTTATTCAGTAACATCAAGCATGTGTGGAACCCCAGAACATTGTCGAATATATTTAGAATTTGAATTCTATTCCTAATGTAATTCCTATGTCCACACATACACAACACAAACAAAAGGATGAAGATGAAAGTGAAATACATACTATGAAGACACATAGAAGAGATTCCCCAGTCAGATGTATCGTATAATTCCGGCATAATGAACATTTAGGAGAATCGAGATTGAATGCTGTCCCCGATATGGCTGAACCACGAGAAAACTTGCCATGTAATGCTTCAAGAAGTTGAAGACTCCAGAAATAACTTTGGACAAGTTTTAAAAACCTTGTAAAAAGAGATATGTTTATTGTAACAGCCAGTAGCGCGCTCTCCTCTAGCCACGAGCTCTTCTGCCGGCACAGGCAGCATCTCCTTTTATAAAGGGAAAAATACAAACAAAAGAAAATATACAAAATATCTATTCACATATATAGAAGAAGGCAAAGTATATTTTTACATTTGAGGAAATATTTTTCAACAAATGCGATCAAGGGATTGGTTTCTTTGGAAAATTCATTAAGTTCTCGACCTGAAGTTTATGATCAATATTGTCACAGAATAATCTGTGGTAGCCTACTCGGTTTATCATCATCAGTTACGTGTCGTCAGCGTTTTATTTGTAAATATTTTGTTTAGATATCTCTCAGTTTTTTTAAGATTAAAAATAATTGAGTAAAATCGATCATTCTCCCAGGGAAAAGTGTCTTTTCAAAAGCCTTTTTATTCTCTAGCTTTCAGACACGGACGCCCTTCTACAGGAGAAAACACTCAATATTTATGCAAGGGATTATTTTATAGAATTGTGAGAACAATAAAAATGCTTTTGAAAAGACACTTTTCCCTGGAGGAATGATCGATTTTACTCAATATTTATGCAAGGGATTATTTTATAGAATTGTGAGAACAATAAAAATGCTTTTGAAAAGACACTTTTCCCTGGAGGAATGATCGATTTTACTCAATATTTATGCAAGGGATTATTTTATAGAATTGTGAGAACAATAAAAATGCTTTTGAAAAGAAACTTTTCCCTGGAGGAATGATCGATTTTACTCAATATTTATGCAAGGGATTATTTAATAGAATTGGAAATAATTGTAAAAACCTTCCTTGTTAGAATAAATTATTTTATTTATGTATTTTATTTCAATTTAAAGTGCTATGTCCCCCTAGGGACACTTTCACTGTGATACATGTATGCCTTTACATTTGTCTAGACATATATATATATATATGTATACAATACTTTTAGGCCGTAAATAGGATAGTCATATGATGTTAACAATGATAAATTGTTTTATGATTACTTGTTATGTTCTGACTTATAATCTTGATATGGAACCATTGAATATTGACATGAAGCCCCAGGACGGTGCAACAATATAGAAATTACATGAAGGAATACTATGAGTTGGGTCATATGAGTTTAGTTCCGAAGGAAGAAACCAATAAAGTACTATCTGCCTCATCATCCAGTGATGAAGGAGAGAAGTTGCACAACCAAATTAAGAGTAGATTTTAACGCATTAGCAAGGACTGATTCTGGTTTGATCTTAAATAACATCTTACTTCCAGGACCCAAGATCCAGCAAAATTTATTTTTCATCCTTTTGAGATTCAGAATTCACTCTGTTGCTTCTTTTTACTTATCCTTTTATTAGTCTAAATTAGACAAGATCTTGGAGGTCGTTCTCATAAAGAAATTCAAGAACTCTTCTCATTTCTCTGTACAGGGATCCTTTGTCCTTTCCAATACAATTTAGTACATCGTTTTGAAAATAGAGCAATCCATAGATAAATCTTTAATTAAAAAGGCACATATTGGATCAAAAAAATAATTTATTTTACCAATATTTCAGCTGACTGAACGCCAACCTTTATCAAGGTGTTATAACATTTTAAAGTGTGTCACACACACTCTTTAAAATGTTATAACACCTTGATAAAGGTTGGCGTTCAGCCAGCTGAAATATTGGTAAAATAAATTATTTTTTTTTGATCCAATATATGCCTTTTTAATTAAAAAAAATAGTATATGTTGAGGAGTGGCCTCTTCGGTTTTGCACCTAGTGTACATGGGGAAGCTTTTGGCTCCCTCTTTATAGATTAGAGGGCGCAGGTGACCAGATTTCCATCTGGCCAACTGTGTCGAATTCCTTCTGTTTAGTTGGTACTGTTGCTTTAATGGCAGATATCTCCAAGACAGTTCAGAATAACTAAAGAGGACTCGGAATCTCAGAGAATTGTATGGCGAAATAACTCGCACGACGACTCTCTACAAAATACAGTTCTAATCACCAAAATTACCATTTTAAAAGCTTTTATTTAACTTGTTTCCCTGTCTGTACGTCTGTCTGTCCACAAATCTTGTAATCAATTTTCAATATACTTCTAGAGCACATAGAAATCTGAAATTGTGTACACTTCTCAGAACCCGATGACAATGCAAGTTGACAAATTTTCAGATTTCTGGGATATCAGGGTGGTCGATAATTAACAAATTTCTTAATTGTCTTTCAATTTTTGTAAATAATTTTAATATACTTCCAGATCACATAGAAGTATAAAACTTTTAACATTCACTCAATCCAATGATTAGTGCATTTAAATAAAAGCTTTTTAAAATGTATTTTTATTTATTAATTATTTATAACTCCGGTAATAAGACAGTTCTCTCTGAACGACATTCTGTCTCTCCAACTAGATGTTGTCCTTTACAGAGATGTAGTTCTACTGGGTCTTGCATGATCCACTTGGCAATTCAGAACATCACTCTCATGGCTTCTCTCTTCTTTTATGTAAATAGGGTAGGTTGTTTGGATTTAAAAAATGGTCGTTCTGACATTTATAATTCTTTATTGTTCTTTTATTCATGACCGCTATTGCATATCTCTCTTTAAAAACAAATTAGGCATATTCTGGCCACTAGCATGAGCGTTTTATAGATTCCAGAGCACCGTCTAGTGGAACAGAAATCAAATGGAACGCAATTTTTTTTCACATATCTCTCTTTAATATGATGCACTAGCGCGCCATCTGTTATCAAAATTCGAAACTATTTTAAACGCGTGAGATTCTTTTTAAAATTAAACAATTTCTACTGCCCTTACTGCAATGGAAAAATTAATGGGAGGGCCTGGCTCATAAGTGGGAGGGTTCACCACTGATGATCCAGACCCTCCCATTAATTTTTCCATTGCAGTAAGGGCAGTAGAAATTGTTTATTTTCAAAAAGAATCTTACGCGTTTAAAATAGTTTCGATATCTCTCTTTAAGTTTGTAAATATCTGGTATATGTTTAAATAAAATTTATAATCTTTTATTTTTATTTATATATTGCTATGTGTGATATTTAATAGATTCATATTTGATAGATTTTTCATAATGACCGGTCAATATAATTATCCTTTTTTTATCATAATTTTTTCTGCATCTTGTTTTTCTGGCTTCTGTAAATAACGACCATCCGCGTCTTTAGTTAGACTTAATATCTAATCTAAATTACTCTATTTCTATTTTAAATATATTGTATTATCCTATTGTATAAATAAATACATA